GTCATCGTGGTGCTCATCCACCAGAGCCATAGCCAGACTGTCTCTGGACACCTCGCTAAACTTCTTTGCCTTGCTGACAAAGTTGGTAGCTCTAAAAATTAAATAATTATTTTACAAAAAAATTATAACATGCTCCACTTCTTGACGCTAATTTTATAAAGGGGTTAGGCCACCCTCAACGCTTGAAAATTTGAGAATTTAAAAAAAAAATTTTTTGACAAAGTTATTAAGAATACAAAAAAAATTCCAAATGGCGGAGATATAGCCAATCAAAAAAGGCACTTTTTTAGGAAATGGTCGTATGGTGTACATGCTGCACAGTCATTTTTTATCTAAAAGCCCAATGTCCTAAATGACCGTAAGGATATCGGCATAAAACTTATGTAAAAACAAATAAAAAAAACTATTTTTCAAAAATGTCAGGGTGGTCTACCCCCTTAATTAGAAAATCGGACGTTACAGAGTATTTCGGCAAAACCCAAAAACACGTTGCGTTTTCTCAGCAACAGAGCTTTCGACCTTAAGATTGACTGCAATGAACCCAAAATCGGGAGTACTAAAGAAAGGCACAGCTTAGGACAGGGCTCTATCGCTCTGGCTAATTAACTTTAAGCACATATTGAAGGAACTTAAATGTGGAGGAATAAAAGTAGTGCTACTAATAACAGGAGTAATAAGTAATATAATGTCAGGAGCATTGGAATGATTAAATAATTAGGCAGTTGAGCGACACAAGGAAGACGGAAGTAATGCTTTTCTAAAGAAGATCCAAAATCCCGACAAGCAACAGGGCCAAGAACTAAAACTATCACAGCAGGCGATGTATCTAGGGTGTTACTGGACCGAAAGCTCTCAAGAAAGCGTAACATCAGAAAAGCAGACATTGTGTTTCAGGAATATATTTGGCAATAACTTGGGACTCCACCCAAAGACCATAACATTATGTAGCTTTATAAAGCTGTGGTTCGACTAATCTTGACATATGGGGCTCGATATCAGAGAGCAGCGCTAGTAGCACTCTACTGCCAAGCCAATCCCAGGTTTGGTTGTGCACCACCAAAGTCAATAAAACTTACGTAATAAACATTAGAAGAAGCGAACATGGTCAATAGAGTCCGCTCCATCCTAAGCAAAATAGAAAAGAATAAGGCTAAAGTCAAGGCTAAACCTCTTGACGCAGAAGATAAAGCCTTATTTCTTGCGGAGATCACGGAATATAAGACGTGTAGGAAGGCGAACCCGGAAGCGTTTGAGCCTTCATAAGCAAAGCGAAGTCAGTCTCAAAATTGAGCGAAGTGCAGCTAAGAGGGCGACGGACTCCCATGGTAAGCCGAAAGCTACAGCCTTCGTCAATTGGGCGAATAAGTTTAGAGAGATGGCCAGAGACAGTGTATAAACTCCACGACTAAGTGGCTAAGATTAGCGACACATGGGCTAGCCATCAATTCCACCGAGACCGAGAACCCGTATCTGGTTGCCAAAGGGCATCCGAACTCAGAGCCCGGATGATCCTATAGGACTGGGCCACACTCAAGAAGCTTAGGACCATAAAATTCGATACGGCATAAGGAAGGTCAAGATCAAGGCCATTCTGATGATACCAAAAAGTTGTTGGAAGACATGAACATCGACGACAAATGCCCGACTTAACTCCCACCAATATAGATGGCGAAAGTCGTGCAGATTAATCTGAAGGGTAGCTGGATAAGCTCAAAACCAATGATAAAGGTGTGTCTCTTTTTAGTGATATTATTTGTTGTAACAATAAAAGTTAACACACCAAACCCTATATTTCCCAGCATGTGGGATTTTCAGGGATAAGGAGATCTTACCTTACAAATAAAACAGCAAATATACAAGTTGAGTTCCAAAGTAAACAGGACTTTACAAAAAAAAAAAAAAAGAACGAATAGTTTTTTTGGCAAAATCAATTTATTTTATTCAAAATAGTCTCCTTCTGCTTTAATACAGCGTTTTGCACGGTCAAAAAGCATGTCGAACGAATGTTTTAGTGCATAACGCTTTCTTTTCATCGATCGACGCTTGTGTCCGACTATTTGACCAAAAGCACATTTTAACCATCAACAACTCCCCGTATTCACCTGATATGGCACCGTGTGACTTCTACCTTTTCGGAAAAAAAATTTGCCGATGAAAGGAAAGCGTTATGCAGACGTAGAGGAAATTCAAAAGGCTTGCACCGGCGTACTGGCGGCCATATCGGGTAACGAGCTAAAACACTCGTTCGACATGCTTTTGGACCGTGCAAAACGCTGTATTAAAGCAGAAGGAGACCATTTTGAATAAAATAAAATGATTTTGCCGAAAAAACTATTTGTTCTGTCTTTTTTTTAAAGTCCTGTTTACTTTGGAACTCACATTGTAGGATCAAGAATAGTGCTGCTGCAGCACGTGTGGTCTGAGAGGACAGGTTCATCTTCCAAAACCTAGCATTACCGATTAGCAAAACGGTACCGAGAAGACAGTCTTGCAGAATAAACTGGGACAATTGGTAAATTGTCCACACAAAGGTCAGCAAGAGGAGGATAAAGGTTCAATCCTTCTGTAAGGCACTCGACAAGAAAGTCGTGTGGTCTGAGAGGACAGGTTCATCTTTCAAAACCTAGCATTACCGATTAGCAAAACGGTACCGAGAAGACAGTCTTGCAGAATAAACTGGGACAATTGGTAAATTGTCCACACAAAGGTCAGCAAGAGGAGGATAAAGGTTCAATCCTTCTGTAAGGCACTCGACAAGAAAGTCAAGGACTTACAATCATTCTGAATATAGCCTTCCTTCTGGAGTCCAAGTTGTCATGGAAAAGGAACGACCCAAAAAATTAGACAGAAAGGATGAACGTAGGGAAATGTTCAAAACTACTGGGGACTACACCCGAAGACCATTATATTGCTCAAAACATCAGGGGTTTGAGCAATTTCAGCTTACGAGGCCCTAGTATTGTGGCCAGTACTCCCGAGAGAATACAAAGTTACAAACATAACAAGGATACATAGAGCAGCGGCAGTCGCTGGAACCAAGGTGACCATTTAAAAATAGGTCGAAAGGAACGACATTCAAAAAACCTAGGTGCCCGGACATAATGACATCCCATCGGCAGAAGGCAACACTGATGGATTAAAACCGATCTCCCTGAACTCGTTCCCGAAAAGGATCCACGACTATTTTTAACGCACACCTAATAAGGAATGGTCAAGAAAGAACTAAATTTAGGAGAGAGCTTTAAAAGATTTATTGTTGATCTTCTCTAAATAAAACTGAACTACAAAGCAGCAGTAAATGGGGAGTTTTTACGTTTTCGAAAACTTTTGGGACAGCCGACAATTTAGAGATTACTCTATAACTGTTGGCATCCGATTTGCTACCTTTTTTGTGGAGACGAATAATAAACGATTCCTTCCAAATAATGGGAAAGTGGGAGGTTTTAGAAGGGGATATGACAGGAAGTCAGCGCTTTTTTTTAAGCTAGGACTAAAAATTAAGTTCGATTATTACTTGCGGTAATATTTACAAATGAAAGTGAGGAAGGATTTGTTTTAGGCTTACGTTTAGTGCTAACAAAATTATAATACTGCTGTGGGTCCTGTGAGAACTGGACACGTTAAATACTTATTTTATAACTGCGCTGATAAATAAGAGAAAAGAATAGATAAAGAACCGGTGATTTTAAAATTTTGCATTGGCTTAACTATTTAGTAGGCCTCGGAAGCGACCATAAAATAAAAAGAATATTAGTTACATAGGGAGAATCAATTTGTCGGACCAGATTTTACAGTAGTATTAACAAATAAAAGCGTGGTAGGATATAAATTGAGTTTACCCGTAGTGTTAATAAATATATAAAACTGATTTGGGTCCTGCGCAATCTGTACCCTACAACGAATCAAAAAATTGTAAGAACACTGAGCGTTAAGCGTTCGACCGAGGCCTTAGATAAATAGAGAGAATAATGTTGGAACCGGTGAGCTTATATTTATAATAAAGCTTACAAATAAAGGGTGAACTAATGAAGTAAAAAAATTAAAGCTACATAAGGAGAATCGACTGGCCTGATCAGAGATGAAAGCGAGGAGTGTTAAAAAAAATTATAACTCTTTTGGGTCAAATCGAAAAAATTTGTATAACACTAAGCGTTAAGCGTTCGACCGAACCTTTAGATAACCAGAGGGAACATTGTGGGAACCGGTGAGTTTATATTTATTATAAAGTCTAGACTTTAAATTTTTACGGCGTGTTAGCTTTTTGTTGAACCAAGGCGGTTTATTAGACTCCAACGGATAGGTTACCGAAACACTTAACGAAAAGAACGAGTTCATGGCATTGTAAGCACAGATCAAGAAAGCGGTTCAATGTATTATGCACATGGTTAACTTGAGATAAGGAAAAATCGAGCAAGCCATCTATGAGGTCATGCTATGCAGCAGTCTGAAGGACATTTGACACACCATCTGAAGACAAAAGAACACCAGAGCCAATAATTGGACCCTATTTGAAAGCCTTTTGGAAACGTCCCGAATTGCCGATAGGTATTTCCAATAAGTTGGCTCTTCAGCCGATGGAGGGATATACATTACGGACTAGGATGTTGTACTCCCACATGCCGTGTTTTCTGTTTTTTTAGCCACGTACTCCTTAGCTACTACGTGCTCGGGCTAGAAGTCACATATCTTAAATAACGATAATAACGAGGCTTTTTTCACTTTCAGTTTCCTAAACTTATCGACAGTTTTCTAGGTTACGAAACAAGAAGATAGGTTCAGATAGATATTTGCAGCAATAATCTCAAAATTCCGAGGCCACAAAGTTACCAAAGTGAGCATGTAACCAAAAACGGAAGAAGAAGGTTTCTTATTTGTTTACCATATGATTAGTGTGTGTATATGCCAAGACGGTGTAAGTGAAACTTCCAATTTCTTTCAAAAATGTTGCATGGTATAATAGCTTTTAAGACGTACTTCATTACAAGTAACTAAGTAAGTACCTCGTCTCCAGGATCGTAATACTGCTCCAAATAGGGGTGTGCAAGAGCTTCTTCCACAGGAATCCGTTTATGAGGATTAAAAGTTAACATCTTTCCAAGAAGATCTAATGCTAACGCATCAGCATTTGGAAATAATCTAGACCATGGTACATTTGGCTTAAAGGGCAAAGACTCCAAATAGTTTCGAGCCTGTTGTCCAAAGGAATATTAAAATCAGGTTCAATAATTAAGTACATATACTTGCCTTTTCGTTTATAATGCACTCCAAATCTTCACGAGTCGGTGACCCCAATACGCCAAGAATATGATTAAGTTGATCCAAATAATGTTTTCCAGGAAATATTGGCCGATTACTTAACATTTCCGCCAAAATACAACCGACAGACCAAATATCAATTGATTTTGTGTATCCCTTAGAATTAAGCATTATTTCAGGTGCCCGATACCACCGAGTAGCAACGTATTCCGTTAAAAAGCCTGTATGATCGTGCTCAGGATCTGCGATTCGAGCTAAACCAAAGTCACAAATCTATAAAAAAAGTAAACACATTATATTAAGTGATATCACATTTATTTATTTTTTTTTTGTATATGAACGTTGATGCACTGTGGTCAGTACATGCAAGTGGGCCGTATGAAACCAGGCGCAATAGGAAATATAGAAAAAAGGACAAGAACGAGGACCAGGATCTGGCGTGCTGCCAGATTGCTTGCCTGCATGAGTACATAGTGGGTTAGAATTAAAGTTTAACTCAAGAACAAACACTACCCTTCAGTACCAAAATTCCTTTCCTGTCCGATTCCTGGTGTCATGTTTTAAAAACAAATACAAATCTCGTTGGTTTCAGTAGGAGAAATCAGAAACAAAGTAGGCAATAAAAATCCTACCTGTGTTCGGATACTGCCAAACAATTAATTGTTGTTTTCGGAGGCATTCGGAGCAGCGGTTCCGAAATTAGATTGAGATGATGAAAAATATTATTAAACGAAAACAAAAAAAAAAGATAATCTCGTCGTTAAAATCGATTTTTCACAACTCTAATGCCAGCTGAAGTATTCACAAGTGTTTTGCAATGGAGCTCTCTTCCTATATTTTAAATTAATTTTCGGACAGATATAATCTATGTACAGGGTGCGGCACGAAAACTTGCTGATTTGTTTTTGGTGCCAATCGGCGGGGAGTGGTCGGGTAAGGGTGGGGAGTGTCTCATGTTTTAGGGGACTTCCTGAAGTTTCGTCTACACCGCAGTCAGTGGACATCATACATTGGACGAAAGAGCAGCACGCATTTGCCTGCGAGGCTTACTTTTCCAACGGTCGTTCCGTAATTGCCACTCAACTCAACATTCATCCTGCAGATCGCGTTCCTGACAGGCAGTCGATTGTTTCGTGGGTGAAAACATTCAGGAAGAGCGGGAATGTGACAAAATCCCATCCAGCTCATCGGAGAATAACATTCGGTAAGCAATCGCAAAGATACCCGTCGATATGCTTGAGAGAGTTCAGCTGAGCTTCGAAAATCGGGTATCTCAGTGTATTGAAAACGACGGCCATCACTTGTCCGATGTAATCTTCAAAACTGTGTAATAAAAACTTCAGAAGGTGTGTTACAAGAATAAAAAAAATTTGGAATGGTATATCAACTACTTTTTTTTTATAACCTTCTAAAATCAGCAAGTTTTCGTGCCACACCCTGTATATTGATTTCAGTAAAGCATTTGACTGTTAACAAAACTCGATTTAATGGGTTTTCCAAGTCATCTTCTTAATTGGATCTCAAGTTATCTGTATGGCAGGACGCAAAAGGTTATCTTTAAGAAAAGTTTATCTAATGTTCTAAGGCGTCCCACAAGGAAGCCATTTGGGACCCTAATTGTTTACATTATTTATAAATGACCTGCCCAAAGTCTTGACTAACTCCATAGTGCTTATGTTCGCGGATGACGGCAAGCTTTGCGTGCAATACAATAACTTCGCCTGCTAGTCGGATTTACAAACAAATAAAGATAATTTTCAAACTTTGTGCCGTGTAAACTTAAATGACTCGAAATGCAAGCTAATTACATTCTCTCGTGTCGTTCCTAAGCTTGCCAATTACACGCTGAACTGCTGCTCTTTGGAAAGAATTAATTCAGTTGATGATTTGGGCGCCCGCTTGGACCCAAAGCTTGACTTTTTTAATCATATATCGTCTATGGTGAAGAGCCAGGGATTTGCTTGGATTTATTAAACGGTGGTCGAAAGAATTCAATAACCTCTCTGTCACTAAATCATTATATACCTATTTAGTTCGTCCTATCTAAGAATATGAATGCTGCGTTTGGGGCCCTCAGTACGGCGTCCATAGTAAACGGATCGAGTCGGTTCAAAAGAACTTTTTACTTTTCGCTCAACGCGGTTTAAATTGGGATGTAAACCAAAGATTACCTTCCTATTCAAATAGACTTCTCTTAATAAACTTACCATCCTTAGCCAATCGTAGATTGATGCTAGGAGTAAGCTTTATTTATAACCTTATCCATGGTGATGTGGAAAGTGCTGACTTGTTGAGTCAGCTTAATTTCCACGTACCATGTAGAACTACTAGATCCTATATCCCATTAGTGTTGCGACACTGTCGAACCTCCTTCGAACTGCATAAACCCTTTAGAGTCTTATGTGCAAATTATAATAATTTGTACACACTAATCTCCGATGTAGATACCCCCCTTCCCAAATTAAAATCTTTAATACTAACACATTTAGTAAACATGCAAGCAAACAACCTGGCAGCACGCCGGTAGTCAATTTCCTCGTATTCTGTCCTATCGGGCTTACTAACACCTAACCCAAAAATATCAACCTCATTTGACCATCATAGATGGAAAATGTCTTGCAACATAGGTTAACTGTGTCCCACTTCTCCGACAACAGGCGATCGTCGTCGTGGTGCTCATCCACCAGAGCCATAGCCAGACTGTCTCTGGACACCTCGCTAAACTTCTTTGCCTTGCTGACAAAGTTGGTAGCTCTCGGCTTGCCCAGTGGGTCCTTCGCCCTTTTAGGTGCGCTGTCGCTCACTTGCTGTGACCGAATGCGCTTCGCCTTTGAGGGCTGGAACGCTGATGAGTTTGCCGTTTGGTGGCCTTATATTCCGCGATCTCCGGAAGGAAATTGGCTTTGTCCTCGGCGTCCCGAGGGTCGGTCTTGCCCTCAGCCTCGTTCTTGGCTAATTTGCCGAGAACAATGTGGGCTCTGTTGACCCTCGTTCGCCTCTGGTGATGCGACATTTTCGCGATCTCTACGGTGGTAGTCAATTTCCTCGTATTCTGTCCTATATTTTCCATCGCGCCTACTAACTAACTAACTACTAACACCTAACCCAAACAGGCACGTGCCTGGTGTCATACGGGCCACTTGAATGTACTGACCATAGTGCATTAACGTCTAAGAGTAAGTGACTTATTTGTATTCAGTTAATAAATTCATTTCCAGAATTGCTTTTGAACCTAGACTCTTTTTTAACCTAAACGGTGTGAACGGAAGGCCGTTATATATCCAGTATTTGTTTTCTTCTTAATTGGTGTGTATGCCCGAGCTGCCTTTTTTGCCTGTTGCAGACCCTGCGAGCCCCCTTTTGCTGTTTAGGACACGCAACCCACCCAATGGTCATACCACGGGTGTTGCCGATGACTCAGCTGCCGATGTCGCTTCGTCGGGTCAAGTAGTACATGCTTTCCCTTGCCCTGGACTAGCTGATATCGTCACATCTTCGACCCGCAGCAAGCGACGTCCTGCTGGCCTCAAACCAACTGAAGGATGCTCACTCTGCTATCGGCCCGGCGGTCACCATCGCATCTCCTCCGACTTCTAGTCCCAGACCACACCTTTCAACTATCTCTGGTGTTGCCCCTAGGAATCCTTCGACTCTTGCTGGCGTTGCCCCAAAAGGGTAGTTCTTGTCTCTCGCCTTAATTATGATGCATCCGTGAAAGACGTCGCTATTCACTTGAGCAACAAATTAAATGTTTCTTTAACTGAATTCTCCATCTCAAAATTCAATTTTAAGCAGAAACGAGATATTTCATCATTTAAAATTCCACTTTCTGACGCGTTATATAGTAAGGTTCTTGATGCTTCCGCACGACCCGTACATGCAATTGTTCATGAATTTCTTTACTAGAGCAACCCTCGGGCTGGAGTGCCTCTGACTCCCTCAACCAGGCCTACAAGAACTAATTAACTTGTTTTCTTTGCACTATCAGAATGCTCGTAGTTTGTTGGGGAAACTTAGCAAGCTGCACGCTAATAGTGCCTCCTTCGATGCCAACGTTATTTCTATTATAACCTTCCTTTCATATCTTGGATGCCATCACCTGACACCAATTTTCTGGTTCCCACTGCAACTCATGACTTAGTCCAAGGTCTTATTTACTTTTCTTTGGGCCAATTGAACTACGTCAAGAACTGTCGTGATAAAATCTTGGACCTTATCTTTGCGTCCGAGCTCGCCAACGCCCTTGTCTCAAGAATTGACCCTATCTCCTGTCCTGAAGATGCTTATCATCCCACACTGGAGATAATTCTTGAAGCGTCGTTTCCTTTACTTCCTAGTCCAGAAGTGGAACCGACAACTTTTCGCTGCTTCCGCAAAGCTAGTTTCAATGGCATTAACTGATTGGACTTTTTTGGATTCTCTAGACGACCCCAATAACATGGTTATGCGCTTTTATGATATATTATACTCTGCCTTTGACATTTACTTGACATCACCTGATGCGTCTTACAAGCCCCCATGGTTTTCTCGTCGACTTTCTTACCTTAAAAACTTTAAGTCTAGGCTTTACAAGAAATTCACTAGTACTGGGTCACAGGTGGACCTTTCTAGATATTTGACAGCTCGCACAAAATTCTTAGCCCACAATTCTAAATGGTACAGAAACCACCTAAATCGGTGTAGAAATGAGTTCCAGGCTAATACTACGCAATTTTACGCGTTTGTTAATTTAAAACGAAGATCCCAACTTTTTCTTTCTTGTCTTCATCCCAATACTGAGTCCGCAAAATTATTCCAGTCTACGTACTCATCCATTGGCTACAACACAACCTCTTCGTATCCGTATTCTCTTCCACTTTCTAATTACATTGGTCTCATTATTAGTATAGCTCGAGGGGTTTTCGCCTTTGTTAAGCGATGGTCAAAGGAATTTGATGATCATTATACATCAAAACTTCTTTATATCTCACTCGTTCGCCTTATTCTAGAATATTGTTCGTTTGTGTGGTCACCTCAATATGCGAAGTATCAAGACCTTATTGAATCTGTTCAGAAACAATTCCTTTTGTTTGCTCTACGAGGATTAAACTGGGACCCACATCATCGTCTTCCATCGTATGCCGACAGGCTAAGACTTTAAAGCCTCCCCACCCTAAAGGATCGTCGAACCTGCCACGCCGTTTTTTTTATTCTTAAGCTAATTAATGGTCAAATTTGCTCCACGTATTTATTAAGCAAATTATCATTTTCGTCCAATAGCCCTTAACGTCTGTAAGACGAACATTGACGAGCATGATCCTTTCAATCTTCTATGTTCCATGTACAATAGATATTATTTTCTGTTACATGTTGAATTTTCCTACGAGTTCAATGTTCAAAATCTGTTGAGTTACCTATCCTTACCTCTGCCAACCTGATGTGAGTCGGAGCACATCGGTAAAAAACACTCCCTTTTGTTGTGCAGAGGTAAGGGTACAATATAATTTAAGAATGACAGTAATTGCTATTTACTTAAAAAAAAATGTATTAATAACTTCGGCACGCCGAAGTTTTTATCCCCTTGCAGATAGAACTTCAATGACTAAGAATCAATACAATAAAATTATATATATTTATGTTAAAAAACAATGAAGTAATAGAAGCTTTAATTTTATTCACATATACATATTATTTTTACAGTTTTACATTCACAGATTTGCATTATTCATCAATATCTAACGATTGTTCCTTTGGGAACTATATGATATATAAGTCCGATTTTCATAAAATTTTACACAAAATTGTAAAGTATAATAAATTGGTTATATCTCGAATTTGATAACATTCTGTTGAAAACTGAAAATGTTATAATTTTTTTTTGTAAAAATTTTCCAACCATTCCTATGGCAGCTATATGATATAGTTGTCTGATCCGTGAGAGTTTATAGAAGGCTAACTACAAAGTTTCATTCATATAGCTTTAAAACTGAGAAACTAGTTTGCGTAGAAACGGACAGACGTAGAGGCGGACATGGCTAGACCGGATCGGCTGTTGATCCTGATCAAGAATATATATACTTTTATGGTCGGAGGTGCCTTCTTCACTGCATTGCAAACTTCTGACTGAAATTAAAAATGTTATTCAATATATTTATGTCATTGAAACTTTGAACAATGAAACGATGGTAACCCCAGCTGCTTTCGGCAAACAAGTGATTCTTACTGTTTTTGATATTGGATGACTCTGCAAATCAAAGCCGACTTTATCTTGTTTCTGTAAGAACATTTCAAGTTAACTTATTCAACACTCCCACATAGCACCTTCAGCTTTCCTGTTCCTTTTTTTTCTTTTCAATTAAAATTGTTGTAATGATCTCACTCTCTCTCCCTCTTTTGGTTGTTGCAGATGAACAGACCACACTCATCAACAGACCCTCAAGCTACGAATTACATTAAACTGGATATTCTAAGTAACAGATTACATTGGCCAATTAGCTATCTTTAACTTATTAAAATAAAACTTTTACATACCTTTAAGTCGCACGTTTTATTTAACAGTAGATTGCTTGGTTTTAAATCCCGGTGTAAAACGTTTGCTGAGTGTATGTACTTCAGTCCCCGCAATATTTGGTACAAAAAGTAACATATGTGATCGTTACTCAGCCTCTGGAATTATAAAAAAAAGTTAAATACATAATAATAATAATAATAATAATAATAATAATAATATTAATAATAATAATAATAATAATAATAATAATAATAATAATAATAATAATAATAATAATAATAATAATAATAATAATAATAATAATAATAATAATAATAATTAGCAACGTACAGACCAAGATCATTTAAAATCAGTCGTTTTTACTCTCCTTGGTCTCACTGCAATCGTGACAATGTGTTATTTCAACAAACAAATAAATTTTATAATTAAATATAACAAAAAATTATTTAAAGTTAGGATGTGCCCACTCTAGTTGTCTGTCAAGCTAGGGACACATACCCTTGATTTTGAGTTTATACCCTTGCAGGGCTCGTTTTGACCAGAACTTTGAAACTCAACAAAAGAAGCATATCCGACCTAATAAAGCTTATATTAAGGGGTTAGACCACCTTGAATGCCGGAAAATTGAAGGGTATTTCCAAAATTTAAATTGCCAAAGCTGTTAAAAACACAACGTTTTATTGATTGGAATATTAAATAATCCATTTTTTTTAACTATATAAATATATATATAAATATATATATATATAATATATATATATATGATCTTAACCTCCCCAAAACAGTTATTTAATAATTTGTTTACAAGCAATGTAAATTATTTATTTACAAAATATAATAATTTTAAATGGGGGCGCTTTGAAAATACATTTTTTATACGAAATTTTATTAATTAATTAATTTAAAGTTTATAACTTAAGAAAATACATCTTATCGAACAAATGCTACGTCATGCCATAGAGAATGCTATAGAGAATCGGTAGCGTAGTTTTTTAGAAATCATGTAGACCGTTCCAAAAAACGTAGTTTTGAGAAAAACTCTAAAGATAAAAAAGTACTCTAAAGTATACCTGCAGCGCTCACTTCTTATGAGTGTAATATCCAAAAATAATGAGTTATTTTTAAGTCTTAAAATGACCATGAGAATGTCGGTATCAAAATATTTAAAAACAAGAAGGGAAGTTAACTTTGGCATACCGAATTTTGTATACCCTTTCAGATTGAATTCGATCATTAAAAATTAATACAATATAAATTATCTATATTTCTGTTAAAAAAAAAAAAAAAAAAATATTTCCTACGTCAATTATTGTCAACTATATTTAATTCAGTGCAGTTTTTTTTTTTTTTTAGCAAGAAGAAACAATTTTTTTGTTTACTATCATTTATTTTATTAAATTTCGTTCAGCACAATTTGTTTGGTCGCTTTTTGAAAGCAATATCTGATGAGTGGCTATCGCGGCAGGTATGCACAAGTCCTCCCATTTTTCAGCATTTTTCATCGTTTTTTTCGGGTCAATATCAGAGATTTCGTTGCTTATGTCCTGAAGTTTATTAACTTTATTTATCACGTACCCTCATAAGGAAAAGAAAAGAAAGTCAAATTCGGCCAAACTCTTAAGGTGTTCTGATAGTTTTGAAAATCGGCTCGTACTGCATCATTTAGTTAAATTTGGTCAGTAGTTGCAATTGTTCTTGGCACTTTATTGCGCCGATCTTCTTTAAATTAATTTTTAAAATAAAATTTCGGTGCGTACTTCCAGAACAACAAAGTAAACTTACTTTGTCACAGCGAAGTTTTAATGCCCTTGCAGATTGCAATTCGGTCACGTTTCGATATAGTCGTCTGATCCGGCACGTACCGATTTATATACGATAGAGATTATATAGAAGTCTAACTGCAAAGTTACATTCAGATAGCTTTGAAGTGAGTAGAAACGGTCAAACGCACGGCTGTTGATGCTGATCATGAATATATAAACTTTTTAATACGCTTTTATTAGTTCGGGATGTATGTATGTATTTAACGGAAAATATGTGATAAACTTGAAACTTTGCATACTTCTCAAGGACCGATGACAATGAAATAATTTGACAAAAAATTTCATTATCCTTATTTGGATCGTCAGGATTGATAAATTCTTTTTTTATAGATCGTCCGTAAAGGAGTAAGAGAGACAGAGCTAGCGCGCGATCTGCGCGTGCCTGCTGGACAAGCTTATGTAGCACTTAGTCGAGTAAGAACCTTAGACGGTATTCGCATTAAGGAACTTGATTGCTCAAAGTTAACAGGAAAAACCCCATGCAACAAAGAGGCCTTAAATGAAATAATGAGATTTTTAAATAGTTCGTAAAAGTTTTTATAATTAAAATACGAAAAATAACTGATAGCTTAGAAAATTACAAAACATGCGTTTATAGGCACACACACTAAAAAATATCAAATAAATAATAGTTAATAAAACTAAAAGAAACACGCTTTTATAAATAACCGAACTAAAAAGAAGAAAATAATTTATAAATACAAACAAAATTATTAAATGCAGAGCAATAGTATATATGTAATTATAAGCAAGATCACTAAATTCAGAGTTAAAAACGTGGGGTGGTAGTATCTTAGTTTCATACAATTTTGAATTTATGAATTTAGTGTCGTTTTTGCAAGATCAGTTAAGGACTTTGAAATTAGTGCGTAACTGAAAATAAACTCTCTGAAATAATAAGCTGCTTTAACTTATTTGGGATCTTAAACTTGGGTACCGGCTCGATCTTCTAAGGCGTCGGCGAAATAGTTCTTTCCCTATTTTGTTTGCTAAAACTGGAAACCCGGTTGTAAAAAAGGCGTTTTTTTCATGTTAACTTCAAGTCTATTATCGAAGTAGGTTTGTATAACTTGTTTGGGATTTAACACAGCCTCCCGTTCATCCTTTGCTGGTATAATAACATCGTCTCTCTACGGAAGGCGATATTTCTTGGAGTCAGAGCTCGGAAAATTATATTTATGTGTCTCTGAAACACTCCAGGTGAGTTGGACAGACCAAAAGGGGCTTTACGAAATTTGTATTTCTTTTTTGACTTCGGATACAGGCACATGGAAAAAACCAATCTTCAGGTCAATCATGCTAAACAATTGCTTCTTAAAAGCGATCAAACTGATTATCAATAATCCGCAGTGAAAAATTACTAATAATAATTACCTGTTTATAAACTGAAATGTACGCAGAGTCGTGGTGAAGGTTCATTTATCTTTACGAGCACAACAGAGCTTGTAAATTCTGAGTCAAACTCTTCAATTTTGCCATTTGATATTCAGCGATTTGTTCTTTAATTACAGGCGTTTTAGAAAACGTCAATATGCGCGGACGCGAAAAAACTGGGGACTCATTTTATTTTTGAATGTTTTGAAAGAAAACTACTTTACTTGTCAAATAAGTTGTTTCTTTTCAAACTCGATTTTTTTATTGATTTTCTTAAGCTAGAAACACACGATGCAAACAATTTGCAGCAAGTTGATTGCTGCAAACAAATTTGCACGTTTAAACACGAGTGAAAACATTTTGCTGCAAACAAAAAACTTGCAAAGTTGTTTTGCAGCAATATTTGTTGCTTGTCGTCTGTATACATTTTTTGACAGCTATCTTGGTTGCGTCAACTGCTTGCTTGTTTGCATGTGCTGTTTGCTTTCAGTCGTAGTATTGCAGCAAACAAAGCACAATGTGGGATCGCGACAACATAATGAAATTAATCGAATTGTACGTGTTCAGTGAAGCAAAAAGTCTTTTGCATATGTATTGGTATACACTCACACGCATAGGCAAGCGTCTGTATTGCAGACGAAATATACATATATATATATAAAAAAAAATTAAAATATATATATATATATATATATATATATATATATATGTATATGTGCAATTCTCTGGAGAACGCAACCGTGGCCTTAAAATTAAAAGTCAGTAAATGTCTGTTTTTCTTACATATGTTTATAGCGAATATATTGAATTTAACGAAAATATGCTTATTTTACATTTATTCATAAAACATTTCGAAATATTTCAATGCAAAGTCGAAGGCGGGGAAATTTCTGTTTCGAACATTTCTACCGCACGTTTTGTTTTGATTATGTCTTTTAATGGAGAGTCACTATGTATTGATATTCCCACTTTTAAATCTTTGTTTACATTCAAAGAATATAAAGGAAAGGTAAAAGAAACGATGCGATACCCAAATACGGTAAATTTTCAACAGAAAACATAAAAGAATACAGCAAGAGTCTCTTGCTCAGAGCGAGAGCGAGAGAGTATGAACTGTTTCGGTTGTGCTCGCAACGAGAGCGCAAGAAAAAAATAGTTCGACAGTTATTTGATCTGCTTGCAAGCAGTGTCAATAAAAAATAAAAACACGTGTAGACAGTAACGCAATATATTGCACGAAATAGCCATGCAAAAGTTTGCGTGCAAAACAAAAATTTATTGGAGCAAGAAATTTTCTTGCAATATTTGCATAGGTGTAAACATTTGTGCAAACTTTTGCTGCAAATTATTTTCAACTTGCTGCAAATTGTTTGCATCGTGTGTTTCTAGCTTTAGACATTCTTAGACATGGTCAGCTCACAGAAATGTGCCCAATTGTGCCTCTTTGTGGTCAATTTTTGACATTTTAGTCAAAAGTTTGCAACGCAGTGAAAGAGTCATCTTCGAACATATGAAGTATATACACTGCGTTTCACTTGAATAGCACACTTTACATACTGAATTTCAAATCTCGAAATCTTTTAAACAAAAAGAAAACTCGTTGATGTTTTTGTTTCTATTTATAGAGTAATCAATTTTAATTATAAGAAAAGTAACAAAACTTAAATTAAATTAACAATTAATAAAGGATAACAAAAAAGACTGAAAAACTTAAAAAATACCACAAAAATTTTGTTTCACATGAATAGCACATTTTAGATTTAGTGTCATTTCAGCAGCCAAGAAGATTGATTCATAAAAGTTTTTTGATTAATTTGTGAATTTCAAACAAAGTTTAATCATTTTGTGCAATTATGGGTCGTGGAACGTCACTAAGTCACAAGGAACAGATCCAAATACAAAGCTATATTGATTGTGACCTTTCTGTGGCTAATATAGCGAAAAAAATTGGAAGAAGC